GGTTTTACTGAATAGATTTAATTGTAAATATATTATAGTATCACCTACAGGGAAATTAACAAAGGGTCAATGTCATGAAACGAGGCCGCCCCGGTTCAAGTGATCGTTTCAGGGCCTGTTGCTATCAGGCTCGACTTGCTGATAGCTGATTAGTTCCATGGCTCAGGCGTAAGCGTTGTCTCATCCGTTGCTGGTTAAAAAATAGATAGTTGATAGTAGTTTCATTGTGCAAAGGGGTATGTAGAAAGCACAAAAACAATATTCAGAGTAATTTACCGTGTAACACTTCAGCAAGCAGTCCACCGGCACTGCAGCTTGACCAGGTGCAGTTGCCCATTGCGCACGTTTAGACTGGCAGTCATCATATGCTAGTCCCACATGTGTCCCGTATCTTGCAGTCCCATATGTCTCTACATCTTGATCGCCCCGCCTGGCGTCTGTCTGTCCTTGTCCCATCTGTCAATTTGTCGACATAATGGCCAAGTCATATCAGACTCTTTCGGTAAAAAGTATTGCAGTTAGAGTCAAAACCCGTCATGACTGGTCAAAAGAATCTGTCAACAGTAATATAATATTTACAAAAGTAATGACAAAATTCCCATGCAATGCATAGTAAATCCGAGTAGCATTGACAATAACTAAAATGTCAAAGTGAACACTGTTTGAGAGATAATAAAATCATAATCTTGACAAAAGCGAGTATCATCGAGGGAATTTTGCCTCAGCAAGTTACAGTGAGCGAACGTTACTTTTAAAGCTGACGTTCAGAAGTGATTTGCAAGACACTGCCAAAATATGGGTACAGTCCATGATACCAGTAAGCAACATCACCATCCATTGCTAGACGTGCTTAACGAGTGGTGAGCAAGAAGCGGACATGCATCTTTGTAGCTGGATATTTGTGATTAAAAGTTTTGCAAAGGGTAATATGATGACTCAACTACGTAAGACACCGTTCCTGTAATGGGGCACGCTCTTACCAGATGACTCGTAAGACCTTGTGTTAAACGAACACAAGACTGCGTGCTCCCGACGTCACGTACTCGTGGCGTGAGGAATCGCGAAGAAATAAACAGAACTCAGAAGCTCTGTTTAAGGGAAAAGTAGAGAACTGTATTCGATATGGTCAGGTTCCCTAATCAATCATCTCTGTCTTGATCTGACTATATTCAACTACAATCTCTTATGCGGGTTTCTTGACCACCACCCATTGCGCGCGTCCAGCAGCGATTGGTGCTTGATTTGTTAATGTAGAGTCGACATCAACAGATAAGTGGAGCACCCAAGGACGATGCCCTAGCGGGTAGTATTCCGTCACCATCACCTCTTCTCGATCGATGTTGATTGAATGTTATCGAAAATCGATAATATTCAGAAATTGATACGTTCGTATCAATTTTATGCAACAGGCTCACCCCGATTGTAATGGGGCACACCCTTGCGTAACTTAACGCAAGGGTTTTCGGTGCCCCGACAGACGTACACGTGGCAAGCGAGGAATCGTAGGTAGGGTAAAAGCAGAACTGTTATATTAATATAATTAAGTCTTTGACCAATGTCTCTCTGTTTGACTTAGCTTAACTATACTAATATAACTAGATGTATGGTGACGTCTCTTCACCACTCATTGCGCGCGTCTTGCGGCGATTGGTGGGTTGATATCATCAAGATATCAACCAATGAACAGACTCTTTGGTTGACCCTTCAATATCACCACTTTGGTGATATTGTTTAAAGAATATCCATCTTCATATTCTTTATTGTCACTTTCCTTAAAGTGACAATTTCATGTAACGGGCTGCCCCGTTACACCGATACAGTTTCCCTGCTTCCATTCAATTATGCTTTACTCATTTAGATGACTGCGATCCGCATGAGTACTGAAAGCATACGCTAGCATCCCCATTAGCGTGCGGCAACGTCTGAAGTAGAGGCGTGATGGTGTACGTTTATGCAAATGCAAGCGTATGAATGCATTGGAATTTTATGTTTCAATTCTGATAGAGTTTATGTTACGACATTTCATGCTTTCGACAAATCGCAAAATTTGAACAGAAGCGACATACCACAAACATACCCACTACGCGATCGCGATCTGATCTTCACCGTATGCTGTGATGAACGTAGCTGGATGGGTGTGGGTGGCCGAAACGATCAGAGTTCTGTGGCCCATCGCAAGTGATGCAGAGAGCTGTACTGCTAAATTTCCGATCCGCAAGTCTACTATATCCAGGACCCTACTCGCCGTCATGCAGAGCCTTCCCGTTTCGTCCTCAAGGTTTGACGCGAGTTTTTGCCTTTACCCTTGCACCTTGCACCCTGCTCTCTGGTCTGGTTCGTAAACGCCGTGGGACGCGATTGTAATAGCTGATCGTGTACCGCAACTCTGCATGTTTTCTGAGAACGGATTCACACACTGGATAGGCCTTACGTCGGCTTTGCAGATCAGGTTTTGATGGCGCGGCTGAGGCACTCATCAGGGGGAAACGAGGCGTGACAACCACAATCCGTGATATGTCTGGATACAAGCTCTGAAATGAAAGGCGTGTTTCAATAACATGTTTGTGAGACTTCATGTATTGTTGGATTAATTATTCGATTGTAAGAAAGCGCACGAAGTACGCTCTCGGTCGCCAAAAAATGTGACGACAAACCGGTCGATATTACTGAATGCTTATGTACATGTTGATCAACACGAAGCAAACAGCATCATCGGGTGACCGACCAAGCAGGGTAACAGACACGAACACCTTTGAAATGCCATGACAAGGTACATGCGCCAAACCGAAATCAGACTCAGCTTTGCATACGCGCGATGCATGAACAATCATTGCGCCTATGTGGACCATTCGAAGTGCACAACTCGTGGGCATTCAGTGTGGGAGGAACCCCTGTGTCTGAAGCGTTGACTTTCTCGACCCATATGACGCTTATGATCCGCTGGTGTCGCGCGCTATACGAGTGTTTGGTGGGGACCCCAAAGGTTCTGTATCATCGTGTGGCGCTATACACGACTGCGACACGCCATCGTCACCAGCAAACTGTTTGTCCTCACGTATTGACGTACCCTGATGGGTATTATTCACGTTGCAGCTTTGCGGCATTGCAGAATGATTGCAACACCTTTACAACCAACAACACCCTACTACGATGAAGCCGCCCACTTCGGCACCGTATACTGGCGCTCAACGTGACCAGCAGAATTCGAGGGAGTTACATTGACGTATGTCAGCCATCGATTACACGGTAAGCGAGCACAATCTCAGTGACAATGACTAACTTGCGATCGCAGACGACTTGAATGATGAGCAATGCGCCGAGAAATGTGCCGGAACACGATCGACACGTACCAGCTGTTCTGGCACGACAAACGCACGCGGGAGAACAACTACAACAGCTACTTCGCCATACTTAGCTCTATGATATCGATTCACAATAAGACCCTCTTGGGCGTACGTGGCAAGGCAAGATACGACCGCGTAGCGTAGAGGACGAGTAAACGTATTCGCGTCCCAATCTTTAATCATCGAAAGAATGCTGCGAAGAGAACGTGTCTGTTTGCGTCCGTACGCAACGAACACTATCACAATCAAAATATGCACTTCCGCAAACGAATCGGTCGATTTTCTCGACAACAAATTGATGTTGCGACGTTGTTCAACTCATGGACAGTAGTAGAAATTGCCGCATAAGCAAGCCGCAATGAACACAGAGGACTTCGTGCTGCATATGCCAAACGTTGTTGCAAGTGTGTGCTCCATGGCAAGTCCTTAGCCCACTAGGTACGCTGCCTTCTTCTGTGCAGGCTTAACTACACCTTCTTGTGTGTAGGCTTATCAAAGTCCAACACGTCTCGGCTGTTCGGCGACCGATCCCAAATGTTTCTGAGACGATCAAGATGTCGCGCAGGTTCAAGCTGAACAGACGGACGGCCATCGACGCGACGATGAACAAGCAATCATCCATACTTGAGCTGTCGATCCAGGCTCAGTCGGGCCGCACTGTATGCTGCGACAAAAAGAAGCGTATTCAACATACTTGGTAGTACTAGACTACGCAGCTAGAAGCACTTGTCATGATGACACTCACACGCTCAGTGTAGCCAAGGGTAGGTGTGTACATCACAGCTCGACCCGCACCATTTCTTTCCTGCTGATGCATTATCGAGGAAGATAAGAAGATGAAGACAAGAAGCGCTGGACGCACCCAAAGACATGGTCGCCACGCTACGCTCTCACGTGCGGGCTTCGGCAACCGGGACATTGCAGTGTCAAAAATGCCGCGTACTCGCTCTCGATTCGGTCGTAGCTCTCGGTGCATTTTACTATAAGACCACAGGTACACATCGTGAGGTAAGATCAACTTACATGGGACACGCGCTTTCCGCACAAACCTTCCATGAGACCATATGTCGGCAAGACATGGTCAGATCAACAGCCTACGTGAGACACGCTCTTCCCCTACGACCGAACAAAGACTTGATGTACGTTCGTCTCAGCGTCAGCGCAAACAAAAGTGCGCTCGGTCGTATGCATATCATACTTTGACTTGTGCTGTTTCCGGCCCTGATCTTCGACCAGGAGCGCTGCCTGAACGTCAATCTACCGAGCCGTATCGGCCCCTGGTCAAATAGTGTGCACGAGTGACTTTGCCATCACGAGCAAACAAGAGGAAAGCTCAGCCACGTGGCCACGAGATAAGATAACACCCACTGGTCCGTATTTTACTTCTGACGTCTTCGCGTTCGTAAGCGCGACCGACTTGTCTCTTACACATCTGATCGCTATCACGGTTGAGCGAGCATCCGCGTCCGGCTTTCATCCCTTCGTCGCCAAATTGAGCACGCGGTGTGTGGGCAGTGCAAACAATGTCGAGGCCCATCCCTCGTCGATGATCAGGCTAGTGAGTATCAGCTCAGTCTACGCACTGCTGTCCAGCAAAATCTCGCATTCCGTTCCTCACTTTGCAAGTTGCTAGCTCCTGGCCATCCGTGCATGAACATGCACAAGCTCTGCCTTCTACTCGTGGCCTCCAGCACCTTTTCCGGTGAAAGTATCGGATCGATAACCGGCGGCGACCAAGCGGTTGTTGTCGCGCACAACGCGGGGACTGTGCCACGCGTTGGCGGCGCTTCGTCCGACTCGTCAAAACTGTTGCGGTCTCACGACAGAGCCTTGGACAAAACCGCATCGACGACTGCTGATCTAAACCTGAAGTCGAATGGCTCGACGATGCCCTCGTCTGAGCCTGACCTTGAGGATCGATATGCATTCGCGCCTTTGGTAGAGGGACTGGGACCGGGTGTTTCGAGGGCTGCTGCGCACTTGCGGAATGATCAAAATGTTCTCGTTGTGCGCCGAATGTCAAGAGAGGAGTTAAACCCCGTTCAGACCTCTCTACGCATCGAACTTAATCCACGGGACATCATTAGTGAGAGGGACCTCAGCTTTTGGACCAAGTATGCAGATCGGCATTTAAGAAAGTTTCGTGGGCGGCCAAAGTTTAACGTGGCATACCGGGTGTTTAAGGGCGACCGTTCTCCAGACAGGGTATTCAAGCGACTTATATCGCTCGGCGACGCCGGCGATGAGAAACTTCAGAAGATGGTCGCGTATATGTACAACAAATTAGCTGAAGAAGTTTCAGCCAAGTTTGGCGACAAAGCTTCTACGTGGATGGCCAAGAGGTGGATGAAGATGGGGTTGCACCCCAACAAGGTCGCCACAACACTTGGCATTGGCAACAAGAATCTCGCTTTCACGGGGCTGTATTCTGCAGCTCAATGGGTCGACTACGTCAAGATGTTGCAAAAGAAAAACTCGGAACTTGCCATTGGCCAAGGAAGAGCGACAGCTCTTTTAATCAGTCATTTGAAGTACGACGACAAAATTTCTCTTCTTCGCAAAGTCTGGCCTGACCATCCGGGTCTTGCAAGTCGGGTAGATCGTCGGACGTCGTTCAACGCTGAGTAGGTCATCTTTGAACATCGGTCTGGTTTCGTGTCTGCTTGTGCAAGTCCGCGAAAGTTGGAGCGAGGAGAAGCGTAGACGGTGAGATTGGAGCCACGTTGAGGCGGTCGCTCTGATGAAGGGGCGTGTATGGTAGATAGCTAGGTCATTCACCTGATCAATAGACACCTGCGTGGCGTGTTTTAAACAAAACTCTTGTCCTAGTTGAGTGTTTTTGTTGCAAGCTTTCGCGCGGGAGGAGCAAGCGTTTCGATCGACGTCAAACATGGCAGACTGACGAGGTAATCACGCCACAATGCCGAGGTCACCCCCCTTACACGTCCCCAAGTAGGCCAAGTGAGTCTTTCTTCGCGTCCGCAGCCATGAGCGAAGACTTGGACGACGATGTCGTGACGGCCGCGCCCACGCCGCCCCCTTCCGCCCACTCTTTTCCCCCGCATCTCCTCTCTATTGTGACCACTGGAAACTTCGCATCTGACAAACCCGGCCCGTGGCTTGCAGAGGGGTTCGAGTCTAATGTAGTGAAATTGAGAATGAATATATTGAGGAGGAGTGTTAAACTTGGTAGGCTAGTCTGGTGTCATCATATCCAGTCTGGCGCAATCTTCTTTCGTCTGGCGCAATCTTCTTTCGTCTGGCGCAATCCAAGGATGGTCTCGCAGGTCATATCGATAGACAACCCATGTCATACTCCCCCCATGATCTGTGAGATTTAGCACGGAAAAATGCGGCGGATGCTCACACGTTCTGCCATTGCTCCCTTGTCGATGGTCACAGTGCCGTTGCTGTGAACTTGGCGGATAACAAAAGGTCCGGTTGCCACTGCGTGCAATTTTGCACGGAACTTCTTGGGGACGCGTAACATCACGTGGTCTCCCGTATTGTAGAAATGCTCGAGGCGTTTGCTATTCTCGCGGTCATTGTCGGCGAGAATTGCATCAAAACGACGCTTCGATAGATAGCTCCAGTTGGCGTTATAAAGCTGACGAGTGATCATATCTTGACCGAAGAGTAGTTGTGTAACGGGGCACACCCTTGCGTAACTTAACGCAAGGGATTTGGGTGCCCCGACGGACGTACACGTGGCGAGCGAGGAAGCGTAGGTAGGGTAAAAGTAGAACTGTTATATTAATAAATTAAGT